AAAAAAAAAAAAAAAAATGTTCCTATAATATTACAACTGAAAAAAATATTTTCATATAACAACAAAGTATATTGAGATTAGCCATAATTTAACCTTATCTCATTCTTCAGGACTGTAATTTGTCATTGGAAGTATAATTGTAATTTTTTTAGATTAAGAAGTTCAATTGTCATTTTTCATGCATAACCATAGGCAAAATCTTATATAAAGTTAATAATGATAAATGACTAATAAATTCTTAGGACATATGAAAGTGCAAAATATTAATTAGGTTTGTTTTACTAGGTCTAATCATAATTTGACAATTTTTGACTTGCTTTATAGTTAAGTTAGATAATGTAGTAAGATCTTGTTTATGATATTTTTCAAAAGGATAAGATACTTAACAAGATCTATGAGGATGATTTGTTCTTCTTGCTCAATTGACTCTTGAAACTTGCTAGTTCCTTTTTTTATTTTTTTGTAAAGTGCTAAAACTTTTGTTCAATTTCTCAAATATTTGTAAGAAAGGGGATGGGAGAACGAGTGCAGTCACGCAGATAAACCCAAGTGAAGTTCCATCATAAAACCAGGTGTAAGGAGGAGTAGCCCATTAGACGCCTATTTTCTCTATATAAACGATTCTAATTTTTTTTTCTCTGCAATGCAATTTTAAATGATAATTTGAGAATATTTTTTAGCTGAAATTTGGAGATATATTTTGCAACAAGCTACAAACTGAAACAGGGGACAAAAAATATAATTAAAAAAAAAAAAATTGTAAAATAAAGAACAAAGAGTGATGAAGCGATCATGGAACTTTTGAATATGTTAAAAAAAAAGAAAGTAAAATAATCATGATCAAAATGCAGAGACCTTAATTTTTATGAAACGCTAAACACCGCCCCCTTTTCGATTATTACCGCCCCCCAAAAGTCGTTTTTACCCTCCACCTCATTTCTCTCTCTCTTCTACTCTCTTTCTCTCTCTCGTTTTTTGCTCGTTAGACGTCCGAAAAAATTCCGAAAAAATGTCCGGACCATCTAAACGCGGCGGCAAGGGGTTCTTCGTACGATCGGTACGTTTTTTTTTTTGAAATTTCGATCGAAAAATTTGAAATTTTTTTTTTTTGTTCTGT